TTTATTCAACTGTAATTTCCTTGATTTTAACAAATCGATGGTATTTAGAAACATCAATATTGTTGATGTTTGTTGACTATTATTCTAGAATATTCTGCTTATTAGACGGTCAAAAGATTGTTTCCTGGAATTTCTAATGGGAAATCTTGACTACTGGGGTCAAGTTTGTTGGGAATTGATATCTACCCAAAATTTATCCCATTAACCGGCCAGTCTGATATGTTTCCACAATCTGTGTCATTAGTCTATTAGTCAGATAAAAACAAATTATATGTCATGTGCTGGGCGTCACGCAGTCAGAATCGAGCCTGTAGTTAACGCCTAATATTCAAGCCCTGTGACTGGATCAATATAAGATGTATATTTTTGTACTCTTAATAACTTTTTCTCTCGACTGTTTTGAAAATACACGTCCTCAACACTGCTGCATGAGTTTTCTAGAATTTACTAGTTCGGGAGAGTCAAGGAATAACCAACTAGGAAACTATCCAGCGTTCATTATCGTCAGTTAGCATTCGTATTCACACTCGGCGACACCATAACAGGTGCTAAAAACATGCTCATCAGTAGTAGGGGTCGGTTGTGGCACTTTTTCTCAGAAGTCAGGATTCCCCAGTTATTTGATTCTACCCGTGAGGATGAAAGGTCGATAGCCCTGGTTCGTAAAATAAACGTTCTGGGTCCATTCCCTTGTTGGGTCACCGATACACATCACTGAAGAGCCTAAAGATGGGAAGAAACATTTGTCTAGTGATCTTTGAATTTCAATGATTTTTTAAGAACGTCCATTGACTAACAGTCAATGCACAGGCGATATCTGCTGCATAAACAGGTTGATCTAGTCAGCTGTAATGCATCTGAGCAGAATTTAGTGATAAGGTATGAAATAATAATATTTGATACAAAGTAGGGAAACAAATCAAAAGTCGAAATTTTATCTGTTGAAAGGACATATAATATGCATGTTTAGTACTTAGACATATTTTGCATACCTAGAACACTATGAGACTCATATATGAATTATAAATACAAAGTTTATGTTGGAGCTTATGTTTGTATTCCAAAGCGTGTCTGTTCACTGCTTCACCTTTAACTTCTGAATGTATTGATTAACTTCACTAATAATTCACATTATATGTAGAAATAATTAGACTTTTTGAAAAAAGCACTAGACAGGTGATTTTTTTCATATTCTCTAAAATTATTAACTTGATTAACGATTTCTCTTATCTTCACTGACTTGCCTTAAAATGAACGCAGAATAAAAGAATAGAAAGACAGAGAGAGAAATGCCTGAAGTCATCTATGAACTTGTAAGGTACTGGCTATGTCTACTGATACATTATACTATACCAGTCTTATCATTTTTATTCCCTAGGGCTCCTAGTGAAAAATACGGCTTCAACAAAACATCTCCACTTTGTCCCATTCTCTTCTGTACTCTTCAACTGCGTCCACAACTGCCCATTTTCTCTCATCTCTTCCATTTCACCCTTACACCGACGACCCACTAGTCTCTCCCTATTCGGATTCCACTCCAGCCATGACCTGGAGCTCAATGTCATTCAACGGCCTCCTCAACGTAAGCCCAATCCATCTCCATTTTCTGCTGCATATTTGTTGAGTGACCAGCGCTTGGCTGATTTGTTCTCAGCAAGAGTTTCTTGTTGTTAATTCTTTCTGGACGATTGGCCATTTGATCTTCAATAAGGATTCAGTGAAGGGGGAAGTTTTTGATGAAAGTCTACAGCTGGCTTCTGGAAATACCTTTTTATGACGCGCAGTGCAAGTTCCTGACCCATACAGAAGAAGTGACTTAACATAGGTGTTGAAAATCCGAATCTTGTTCTTTATGCTGGTTGAGTGCAGAAGATTTCCAAACTGGTTTCAGGTTGATGAAGGCGTATCTTGCCTTTCCCATTCTGGATAGCTAGCTGGTCCCACGCCCAGGAAAAGAGGGAGGGTTAGGCGTGAGGCCAGCGATCCTACCCCCAGAGAATCAATCAGACCACTACATAAACTTCAACACTCACATACTGGTCTTACTAAACAGAAAAAGTCTGATCACCCAATCAGTCAATGCACTACCTAACTTGTAAGTGCTGATAATAAAACACAAAACAATAGAGGGCAGTTATTTAGGAATGTACTCTGATGAAGTGTACATTTAATTAGGATAATAGTTAACAGTTATTTAGGGAAAAGATCTTATAAGTAGTTTGGTGAATGGTGACCATTAGTGAAATTTAGGATGCGCATTGTGTCCTACTTGGGACTCACCAACTGGATGTACCTGCATTCCCCAATCGTTGATTGTGTTCTTGCCACTGAGACTCGAACTCAGTACCAATAGATTCAAACGTCAAAATATTACATACTAGATCAATTAGACCACGAGATCCACCTCTTGTCCAACAAGAATCAGTTATTATTTGTTTTTAATTCAGTTTTCAATCGAATCAATCAACGTAAAAATTAAAATTGACTTTAAAAACAAATTTCCAAAAATCTTAGAATTTATCTAGCTGAAGTACATACAGATTCTGAATATGTGTGTATTTATTCCCCTTGATAAATTTGAATAAAGCGAGAACAACATTGATTTGTGCAGAATAACATGGTACCATCATTTATTTCGTTGGCTTCTCGTCAGCTGCTTACAGCCTAAATACATTTTCAGGTTTAAGTACAGAAACGTTTTTAACATACTTGCAAATTTTACATGTTGTCAGTTGACAGAAAGTTTCACAATGAGTAAACAGTGCTCAGAAAATTGAGCTTATATAGTTTTTACACAGGCAGTTCAAGTTAAAAAAAATAACAAATAAATGTATGCATATAATGGTAAGGGAGTTACATAATAAAGATGGGATGTGCGTTGGATGCAAAGTGACTAATAAGTTAGGTAACAATGTACTGAGTTGAACTCAAATCATAGAAACAAGAGACAAGCAAAATTACAGAATATAAAAGAGGGTGAGGTTAAAGACAAAGATTACGCAGTCAGATGAGAGAAAAAAAGGCATCCAGTTACCAAGGCAAGGAAAGACTAATAGCTGTACTTAAACCTGAAAATTTATTTAGGCTGTAAGCAGCTGACGAGAAGCCAACGAATATGTGTGTGTTAAAAGCATAAGAAAGGAGAGTAAAATCGTGTTCCAGCCTGGTTGGATACATATCCATTAAAACACCTAAAGCATCCACAAGTGGAGTAGACGTTTATTTAGCTGATATGAAGTTGATTCAGTTTGATCTACATACTGTAGCCCTAGATTTATTTCAATGCCGTGTAAGGTACACTACAAACTACTGGAAGGCATTGACTCTGTTTTTGAAACAGTCAGCATACATAAACCAAGTTCGAAATTTGCGAACTAGTTATCCAATTACATTTTACACAGTTCCAGGGCAATCTCACTACAGTCTACTTTGGAATCCAAATTATTCAGATCACAATACATGCTTCATACAGTAGCAAATGCTACTGATTAGATTTATCAGTAGTATATAAAGAGATGCTCATAGGTATAAAAACATCAAATAGCAGGGAGATATATTTAATGCCAGAGAAAGTAAATGAAACAGAGTTGTGGAGATGCATGGGAGACATGAAAGGGACATAAAGAAGGACAATATAAAAGAAGGGCAGAAGTAGCACAACACGAAAGATAAGGTATACATAATTTGGTTATATAGAGATACCAATTCTCAAATAAATACTCCTTTGAATAAGACATTAAGAAGAAAAACTACCGGGATTCGAACCCAGTGAGTGCGTACTGTATATGTATATGCCGAAACTCATCCATCAATGTGTCACTCGTGCATATTTTTCGGGCCCTTGCGAACAAAAATTTCACTAGGGAACGTTTATACTGGATAGGAACAAAACTAGTAAAATGAAGATATTGTCCACTCCATATCTGTTTACGAAAAATAGATCGTTGAATCGTTCCATAATCTCTCCTAGTCATAGTAATATCCAGGAGACCGAGTTTGTTATTCGATTCGAGTTCGGAAGTCACTCGAATATTTGGATGAATATGATTAAATAGGGTAATAAAGTTTTCAATAGATTTACTATTATTTGCCAAGTCTTCGTCTTCTACCGTTACAATATCACAAATAGTAATCAAGAATGCAGGCATAGTTGCATACAACAGCATCCTGCTGACTGATTGAGATGAGTAGATCTTGGTAATAACAGTTCGCTTAAGTAACTAGACAGAAATCGGAAGGTTTGTACTGATTCGGCTACCTGAGTTAAGTCACACTGGGTACACAGGTGATGAGCTCGACCCAGAACGAGGGAAACGACTCTCCGGTGTTTTTAGGTCACTTTGACCTGGCTAGCAAGCACTACTGGTTGATATGAGTGGTGTACAACTACTCATCCTGATTAATCAGTAGTATACAGCTTTAAGCAGACATTTAAGTTTCTCGATCACATGAAGGCACATAGTCTAAAGTTTTACCCACAAACAGATTTTGTGTTCATTCTATTACGGTTATTGATATCAAATGACCTTTTTTAAGGTGCAGTCAGCTGTGTTCAGCAGAATAGTGTGAAAAAAATGTCACAATCAGTATAGCAAAGGACATATTGTTCACTTTTATGTCATTAGAATAGGAAAATAAATGGGAAACTTGTGAATCTGGGTTCTATGTATATGTGTGCAATCATGTTATTGTTAAATAACAGGTTAGAATATCACTTCATCAAATGAAGTGTTTTACATTTTACACCTTCATTAGACCAATCAGCGAAGCTTGGATAAAACTGTCACCAGAGCAGATGATTGGATAAAATCTTTATACATACAAATGTATATGTAATCCTATGCATGACCTTGTTTAACATTACACCTAAAATAGAAGTACACATACTGTTTATCTATTGAAACAAAGGAATTAAAGAATTGTTTCTATCAGGAAAAGAAGAACTTTATTTGAATTTTTAACAACTAACTAGCTAACTAACTAACTAACTAACACTTTCAATGTCGTTTCTTATACGCATTTCAAGAGATGATCCTGGTACACCATGGGGTTTCCGATTACGTGGAGGACAAGATTTCAATGAACCACTTCATATTTCTGCTGTTACACCTGGAGGTTTAGCAGAAACTTGTGGTCTACGACCTGGAATGCGTGTTTTATCAATTGGACGTGATTTAACCAATCATATGACTCATCAACAAGCTCATCAAGCTATAATACGCTGTTGTAATGACCTTGAAATAGAAGTTTATGATACTGGATTGATAAACAAATCTGGCTATGTTACACCTACTCATCGCATGAATATACGATCACCAATGAGTACTGATTTTTATAAACCAGTTGAATTACAGACAACTAAAGCAGTTATTCACATTGGTACAAATCCGAGAATATCACCATGTCATTCACCCAATAGAATAAATATTACAGTAAGCGATTCTAGCTCAACTCCAATATACGACCGTGTATCGACTGAGAAAATCAGTATAACTTGTACATCACCAGTTTATAGATCACCAGATGTTATAAGCTTAAAGCCATCTTTTTCATCGTTGTATGGTCTATCAACATATAGTACGCCTAATTCAACAGTGGCAAATATGCAAAGTAACTCTAAGCCTAATCATCGCTTGAATCAATCACCACCTTTACTGAGAAAAGGAATTCTACGCTCAAAAGACTTGAAACTGTGTCCTATATGCCGTGTATGTCAACAACCAATACACGGACCATTTATTGACACAAATGATCATTGTTACTGTCCTAATCACTTTGTATGCGCACATTGTCATGCTCCGTTGAATGAAGAGTGTTTTTTTGCTGAACAGAATGGAAAGTTATACTGTGAACGTGATTTCAAAGAGCATATCGCCTGTCGTTGTGGAAAATGTTATCAACCGATTATTGGAAAAATTATTAAAGCCATAAATCAAACATGGCATCCAAATTGTTTTACATGTTATTATTGTAAAAAGCCATTAGATAATATATTTCATGTAGAAGATACGAATCGTGTACTATGTGAAGAACATTGGAAAAAACTGCACGAAGGAGAATGTGCTAAATGCAAGCAGCCGATTTCAGAGATTGATCGTTTTATTGAGGCATGTGGGAAACAGTATCATGCAAGGTGTTTCAGTTGTGCTGCATGTCAAACACCCCTTGAAGGTAAGCCATTTCATGCTAGAGATGAAAAACCTTTCTGTCTTGTACACGCTCGTGCAGTCGCCTTATTTGGTTGATGAGCTGGCTGGGTTGACTTTCCTTCAAATTATTTAGTTGCTTTCAAGAATGAATCCAGTAGTACTAACTTTGTGATTATCATTCATACTGTTGTATACCTGTATACTTTGGCCTGTGATTGATTCAGTTATTCAGTCTGCTAGATGAAAGTGTAGCAGTTCCACATCGACATGGAGTCAGATACCTACATCCCATAGCCTTTTAACAAAACTACTTCCTTTCTTCTATACATTTGGACTATTCCCATGTCTTATTTGCTAACTGATACCTCTGAATAGTTTCATCTTAACAGAATCAGTTCTTTTATGTTTGTTTTTTTTTGCTGTTGTAGTGATTTTTGATTCTCATAACTTTTAGAAAAAAAGGTCAAAAAAGATACAACCTATTTCAATTTTTGCTGTATTTCTATACTATCATTAAATTATTTAAGTAGTAATGCTAATACTTCATCGTACACTTATTCTCCTTTATGAATTCGAATAAGGCAAAAACGACAATTTGTTCATAGTTGATTTTGTTGCCTCCTCATCAGCTGATTATAGCCTAAAGAAATTGGCCAAGTTAAACTTTAAGCACCAGTAAGTTTCACTGGAGTGTGACAACACCAATGACCTTGGAATGCTCAATGGGGAAGTTAGTGAAACCTGGTAAATAATATTTTGATCATGGATCAAATATGTTTAACGGAACGTTATGTTATTAAACGGGATACCTGGCAAATTCTAAGATTTAGGTTAAGGACACGTAAGGGTAAGGTTAATCTAATAAAGGCGATATTATTGTTAGGTTGAGTTAGATTAGGATTTGTTTGGGGATATTTTCACCTTAGGGCTGGGTTAAGAAAAGATTAAGGTTATTTTTAGGGTTAGAAGACCTAGATAATTATATGCATAGAATGTGGTTAAAGTACTATGTTGAAACTCCAATCCAAAAAAGAAAGGTATTTTTGTCACACGTCAGAGCAAGTTATCCTGTGTAACAGTTTCGTGCCTTTGAATTCATTATTTTCATGAATATATATATATATATATATATATATATTATACGTAAAATCGCCCTCATCATGTGGTTGGTGCGTTCAAGGTCATTTGTCTGTTGCTACCTTCCGGTGCTTAAAGTTTAACTTCGCCGAGAAATTAGTTAATTTCATGCACACAGTAATTTTAACATACTCATAAATGTGACATGACGTCAGCTAATATAGTAGACTCCAAAAATTAATCTACATTAATGCACAGCTTATACACAGAAGGTTCAGTTTTCAACAAAATGAAAATTAAATGCTTGGAGACAATGGAAAAATAAGGGTTTCGTAATAAAAACAAGAGTTGGATAAGTGGTTGATGAGTAGCTAATAAAATTGTTGAGTAACAATGTAGTGCATTCAACTCAAATCATGGAAACAAAAGACACGTAAAACTGACTGATTTCTTATTTGTGTTGAACAGAATCCGAATCTTGTTCTTTATGCTGGTTGAGTGCAGAAGATTTTCAAACTAGTTTCAGGTTGATGAAGGCGTATCTAGTCTTTCCGATTCTAGCTGCCTGGCTATGAAACCTTCATCCGTTCCGTCTGTGCGTGAAACAATGCTTCCTGAATAAGTGAAGGAAGTAGCCTAATTAATATATCTAAGTATTAAATCATGGGCAACAAGGATTTCATGATCTGTTGGCGATTGGTTGGAATCCTGCACTAACTCAAGTTCTCATTTCAACTTTATTTAACAATCAGGTCACAACGAAATATGAATTTGACTAGACAATTAAGGTTATGGATACTGAATTAAAGGTTACGCTTATTATCACCCTTAACTGACCATATTTGTATCAAGAATGAAACAAAGAATAGAATGAAAATAGCTTTATTCTGGACAGTCTTTTAGAGGCTAAGCATGTTGACGTTCATGGATAGTACGAAGTATAATAATGCAAGATATTAGACCCACAACTTCTATAGTATTCGCTTCGCGTAGATCAAAGGTAAGGCAAAACACGACAGTTGATCGTCCAAATTACGAGATATATTTCGGGACCAAATCGGAATGCAAGATGATTGCTTAACTAGCTAGGAATCGTGCACGAACGATTGTAACACTACGGCGTACCAAATGGCATGAATGCTTGACTGTAAGCCTTCACCTAAACAAATCGAATAAAACACTGAGGGTCAGTCTCCAATGTTCAATGATGAATGCTGTGGTCAATAATTCTGGGGAATTACCTACCGCTACAATGTCTTCACATAATGTACAGAATCCTCAGCAAAATTTACAACATAATATTTCCTTTTCATCTAGGATCATCAAGTAAATAGCAATCTATAGTAGATCATATGATGCAATTTTGTTCATTCAGAAACATAAACTAACCTCTCACAATATTTTTCCATTCATCTCCTAGAAATATGCACCCATAGTTTGAAAGACAATTAAAAATGTGTCATGAGTACATATGTGAACTTAAGGACAACTATATGGTCAAAAGAATAAGAATTAAAGAAAATACGATGCATTGTGTTGAATGAAAATCTGGGTAGTTCAGTGATTCAAGCAGGCCACCGTCAATCGAAATAAAATTTAAAACAATTAGTACCCTTTATGAATTTAGACAAAGCAATAAGAAGAAGTAATTTGTCTGAATCGTGTAATGTATTTGAGCAACACATTTTGAACAATCTGAGCACACACGGACTTGTCATAGGAATATATACGAAATTAATAAAGAAATAAGAGGTGTGAAAATAAACTTAGGTTAAGTTAAAAGGACATATTGAAGGTTAAAATAACAATAAAGATCACTAAACCAAGCAAAAGAGGTACATCTACCCTGGCTGGTATCAAAACAACGTTTACCAAGGAAGGTAGGTTTAGTATAATGACGAATTGTTTTTGAATGCATAAAGCTGGTGTAAACTTTCTTATTGCCAGCTAGGTCTTCCACAAACTTTAGGATACGCACCAAACACGTTTTATAGATAGGTTTGAAAGACATGTTAACATTTTTATGTCCTGTCTCAATAAAATGTTTCCCCAACAGAGGAGTTAGGTCCCGTGTTCTCACCATTAATGGGGATCTGGAGATTCTATTTGCTTCTGAGATCGATGAGTCCTCGCTATGTATTTGTGGCCACATTTACATTCAAATATGTAAATACAGTGGGATGTGACATCAATAACATTGTCATCATAATTTCCTAAATATTTTTTTGTGATTATGGAAACTAGTGATAATATTACAAATCATGCTTGTGTATACCATAATGCACAATACGTAAGCCATCTACAAACTTTAAGAAATAATGGATACACATTTGTATATTCCCTCATAAAGTGAAATAGTAAATTCCTGGTGTTTTGTTATGCTGTTTGGAAGTTGACTATTCAGAAAATTTTACAAGAGTTTGTTTGTAGGGACTTGATTGGTTTCAGGTAAAATCACGGATAGACGTATCATTTAAAGAACTATTGAGAACTAGAAAGTACTGAAGAGCTGTTTGGTTCCCTTGTGGGACTCTTCATCAGTACGCACTCAAGACCTCATCAAAGATCGAACCCAGAATCTTCAGGTTATGAAGCCAAGCGTGTTGATCATTCATCCACTTGGGCCAGGATACTGTGGCTCATGAATTCTAACTTATGTTAATTCTCAAGTTAATGTCATCGGCAAGTATTTGTCGTCACACACGACCTGCTGGACTCCACTGGTCCAGGGAACTTTGTCCTGTAGACAGTCACTAGTGAGAATCAGAGAGTAAGGAAATCCCTGGACAAGGTGATCCGTATTTTCAAGAGTTCGGTTTGTAAGAATTAGGTTTGTTTGTACGAGTTCGACCACGGATTGATATTAGTTAGAGAAACATTGAAAACCAGGGAGTACTGCTAGACAGCTGTTTCATCCTAGTTTGGGAATCACCGGCAGTACGCACCCACTGCCAGGGTTCGAACCAGGACCATTTGATTACGAAGCAAGTTCGTATACCATTCAGCCACTCGGGGCCCTACTTAATGGCCTGTCCATGAATTCTAACTTCTATCAATTCATAGGGCATTTAGCGCAACCACAAATCCATGTCATCGGTGGTAACTCCATCCTCACACTTGACTGAATGTACCTCACACTGGTCACGAATTCTCACTAGAACTCTAGGAAACTCCGTCGGTCTTGTAACAAGTCACTAGCGAGCATCAGATTGCTTACTATATATTTATTCATCTCTAACAATGATGACCATGATATATGAAAAGCTGAAAGAAAACAACACTAAGGAATAGTTAAGCAGAAGTTATGTAACAGTCCTTAAAAGCTTTACACAACAATCAACATGATAGTTTTGGCGAGAAAGTTTCTTAACAATTTTATCTCTACAAACTAAGGAAAAGTACACAGTTCAACATTTTATTTATTTTCCATTAAGGATAATTACATGTGAATAGCTTAATGTAAGCAATATTATGTTCATTAGTGTTGAAAAAGCAAGTGATGTGAAATTCTTCATTGATACACTGTTTAAGAATAATGGAAATAACTTATCTATGACAGTATGCATTCACATTATTCAACAATTTTGTCACATGTTCTGAAATACCTAACTAACTGTAATTAAACATTGTTTGCGTATTGTTAAATAACTATATAGTTAGATGGATAAAGAAGAAAATCTGTCCCACCAAAAGACTGTATGTGTGTGAGCGTGTACAACCCTTCCAAATTATGAACAAGTAAAGATCTAAAATCAGTGGTCAATGGACTGACCTCGTACCCTGTAGCTTCTGCGTTGTTCATGTGCACTGCTGAGGAGTTCAAAAATTCAAACGAAATAATATAAGAGTATATTTTCGTGCAACTAACACCTTACGCTCATCACTGGTGAAGGTTAAGGATAAAATAGACGAAGACAACCAGCAGAACTGTGTGTACTAGATCACCTGTGGGGATTGTGACGCCGTATATGTAAGAGAAACTTCCAAACAAGTAAAAATAAGAGTGAAAGAGCATAAAC